GCAATAGATACTTTGTGTATGCAGATCTGATTCAAAATACATTTTGGCTTTTAAATAAACCCTAAGCGCAGTTAATAGTATGCAGCTTTATTGCTATGCTATCTTTATATGTGCTTACTGCGAGCATACCACGTAATTCTTCTTCGTCGTCTTCACTCATCCCATTTGCAAGTCTTGTTATCACGGTGCTACCGCAGATTAGCAGAAGCGCGTGAAACAAAAACACAACGGGGGGAGACGAAAAAACGGAAGTAGAAGATGAGTGACAGTGTGCGTGTACATCAGGAGAGGGTATACGCTCTGTAGCAAGCTCTGTTGTTAATCCTTTTCTACGGACGACGAGAAGGCCGCCTCTTGCGAGCGGTCACTCACTGGCCAACTTCCGACACCTTAGTGACTCCTGCCTACAATCTATCAATCACTTGTTCAAAGGAGTAGCCTCTTCTCGATGCACTGAAAATATTTTCTTTGATACCATGCACACCATCTAGTCATTTTCTTCTGTAGCTCGAAACTTTTTTAGGCAATGATTACTGCAACATTTCTTTTGTTGCCAGTAGTCGTCAGCCAGTCGATCAAAAATATTAGTTTCGGATTTCCAAGTGCATGGGATGGAGACAAGTACCGCGAGCTGTACTGCCCTAGTAAAAACATTCCCAAATTCTTAGGTAACATCACCTCTGCACTCCAAATTAATACGAAAATATTCTAAATACCATACCCCTTAGATGGATTTTTCCTCTGTCAGTTGTCAGCATCGTATGGAGACATTGACGCTCCTCCAGGAAAAAGACTTAATCACATGATTGATGCAATTGGAGCTATTGGATCTTTTCACATAAGCAATGGACAGGTAAATGCTTCTATAATTAGGAATAGTTGAATGATATTTCCCTTAATTCAGGTCGTATTCTCGTCCCAATACTATCCATCACAACCGTACAAAATCTGGGAGTTTTACGATCGTAATATGACGAAGTCCGGAGTGCCATGGGCTGGATGGTCTGACTATAACTTAACGTCGATGTCCAAATGGGAACAGGTATTTTCGCTGATCAAAAGGCTTTGGTTCGATTTTATCATCGTATGGAAAATTTAAGATCCCACCCAATCCTGACTCTGCTCGATTCCATCCAAATCTTGATTTCTGGAAAATTGGGAACAAAATTCTTGCAGGAACTGAAGCTC